ATTCAAAAATGAATAAAAAATATGAAGCTAATACACTTGTAGTAACAATAATATTGGTAGAAAATTCAATATTCAAGTCAATATTCAGTAATCAGTGAAATGAATTGATAAAACACTCTTATATCGAACAAGCAATCACTGAGCATATATATATATATATATAACATCATGAAAAGGAAGAACATAACACAATTTGTTGAATAACGTATTTCTAATGGATAAATACCTAATAATTGAATTCATGAGTTTATTAAAGCTAGACCACTATTGAAAATTTGAAAGCATTGGATGACTGTTTCGTCCTAGTATCGGACTACTGAGCAATGCACATCCATGATACCGCACACAGGACTCGAACCAAAGACTTTCGGTTTCACGCGAGAACACTTAACCCCTAGATCAATGAGCTGGCATCCAGTAGTATTAATGTGGATGCACGCTGCTGAGGAGTCTCATACTAGGATGAAACGGTCGTCCATTGGCACCAGGTTTTCTACGATAGTCTAGCTTTAATAGACCTATGAATTCAACTATTAAATTACTATAATCTCCACAATCTTCTATTTTCCGGATAAATATCTATTAACTTTAAACTAAATGGAATAGCTTACGTTTTATAAAATGTGTGGTGGTTTAATTAGTCATATACGTTTACTAAAATGGATATAATTTCGATATTTACAAGTAGTATACGTTTCATTGATGATGATAATAGTATGTCTTTAAATTTACATAACTATCATTTCTAGTATATACATATACATATTGACTTCATTGATGTAGGTATGAAAGTATCTTGCTGAAGTTGAATATATATGGTATGGAAATTTACGACTTTACCTCATCATTACAAAACAAAATAAGTAAACAACTGTTTACTATGGATGATTTCCATTCTCCTTTCATAACAACAATTGGCTTTTTCTAAAATGTATTTATATAAACAAACATATTTAATGTATGATTGGTGATAAGAATGAAATATTTACACATTATTGAATACATTGAATAAACTATGATAATAATTACTTTTAGTTCACTACTTTAAATATCATCATTTCACATTGTGGTTGTGAACATAAATGAAACTTTAATGTAAAGAGATAAGTTTTCAATTAAGAAGTATCTTACACTATTTGAAACTAATCTAGTTTGTTCGTTTTGCAAAACCTTTAATATGAAAAGGATAATGAATAGTTGGATTGTTGCATTGTTGAGGAGTCCTACATTGGGACGAAACAGCTGTTCAAATGCTTCCAGGTTTTCTATGATGGTCTAGCTTCAATTGACTCATGAAGTCAATTATTAAATTACTGTAATATTCACAAAACCACTTCTTGATAATTAACTATTTTACACAGTGAACATATTCGATTTATATAAAGGAAATTTAATTTCCATCAGAATGACTTTGAGACAATTCGCCTATTTACTAGTGAATGTCAAAAGAAAGTTACAAGTTAATATAAATAATTAAGAGTAGGGTTGATTTAGAGCTCGAATTAAAGATTATGTATTAAAGGAAAAGTTTTCATCATGAATTAACATCAGCTATAATGCCAAGTGGATGAATGAATTTCGAGCTAAAATTCAAATCTTATTATCCTTCATTTCATTAGTTTGTCCATGAATTATAATCTCACCGAATTGAATTCTGTGACATGATTAGATATTAATTATATTAAAGTGATTAGTCCCTTTGATAAATTTTGTTAGTGTGATAAGAAGACGAAAATCATCAGAACTATGTGATGATATAATAGCGCAATACATTCTGAACAATCTGATCACACACAATATACTTGTTAAGAACATTTATCTATAAAAACAAAAGGTCAACTTGACTATAAACAGAGGGTGAGAGGAGAAAAGGATAATAATGTGGAAATAATTTGAAACCTCATCACTCTGGATAATAAGTTAATATTACCAGGGTAGGTTTAATGGGAGAACAAACTGTTTTTGAAAACACGGAGGGGGATTGCATTTTCGTATGGCTAAGACTTTAATAAACCTTAGTATACGCTGTTTTACACTTCGGTATAACACCCTCCATTTCTAGTCTAGTTGACGTTTTATTTTTATACATAAATGTTCTTAGCAAGTATATTGTATATGATCAGATTGTTTGAAATGTATTATTATATCATCACATAGTTCTGATAATCTTCGTCTTCTTATTACACTATCGAAATTATTTATCTTTCTGAGTAAATATTCATATCAGAATTTATACATTGAATTAATAGAAGTTAAGAACACAGACCAACTCAGTGGTATGAAGATAGCTCACTCTTGTAATAGGACGGAATAGCTATCTAGTTATATATGGTTTTCGATAGTACGTCAAATGATATTCATCTATGATAAATACTTTTAACATATTAAACTAATTTCTACATACCACTAAATTAAACTATATTCATGCATTGATAGTTGATCTACGATCTGTTAGGTTCCTAAACTTTTAATGTAGTGTAATGACCGATAAACTAGAATCATATCAGTAGTGAAGTAGTCATTACCGAATACGTTGAGGAATATCACTATATCCTGACTGATAATTAACTGATCAAAATGAACGAATAGTTTCTCCAAATTAATAAACATTAGATTTCATTCTTAATTTGTTAGAGTAAAAAATTTTCTTGAAGTTGTGTCTTAGCGGTTTATAGGTTTGACTTTCAATCTCTCAGTCCCTACTATGAACTCCACTCCACCTACATATGCTTGGATGATCGTATCATTAGCTCTCATACTTAGAGTATGGTTCATAAAAAAAGTATCTGATGAATGAGTTAACTTATTATTATTACGTTTACTAACCACTGTATATGTTTTATAGTTGCTTAGATTTTTAACTCTAAGTCGTCTGGATACTGTATCACTTTCATCATCTTAAAATTTTTAACAGTAATTTATATTTCAATGGTTAATATCACGAATCAATTGAAGCTACACCACCATGGAAAACCTGGAAACACTGGATTGCCGTTTCGTCCTATTGTGGGACTCCTCTGTTCTGAGATAGTAACTCACTGAAGACAATGGTGGATGTGTCATTCAATTTCGTGAATTAGTTCAATTTAGACATCAATATTATTGGATGTCAGCTCAGTGGTTTAGAGGTTAAGTGTACGCGTGCGAAACCGATATGTCCTGGGTTCTAATCTCGCCAGACGGGATTCTAGATGCGCACTGCTGAGGAGTCCCATACTAGGACGAAACAGCCATCCAGTACTTCCAGGTTTTCCATGGTGGTCTAGCTTCAATTGACTCATGATTTCAATCAGTGAAGTGTTTCTGGATAACTATCAGTTGAATAAGATCATGTAACTAAGCTATTCTAATACTCGTACATACAAAAGATAAATCTGTCTGAGCATAATCAGTTTCGTACTAATACGCCTTACTTGTTTGACAACACTTAGTAAATTATCAATAAGTTAGTTATAATTTGTTAAGGAGTTACAGATTAAATTTGTTTAAAATTATGAAACATGATCGTTGGGTACATCAAATAATGACTTGCTTCCATAATTACAACAGTGTACAATTCACTAAGACAATTTTTTCTTAAACTAAAGTACTGTAGAAACATCCAGAAGGTATGAACTTGATAGTTTTAAATAAATTGAACATTGAGTCAATAGTTAGCAACATATATATGGTCTGAAGAAGTTGCTTAAATTAAGTTACGAAACCACTGTATTAAAAATTTTCCTACTCATCAAGATATAGCTAAAACAATAGATTATTTACGATAGTGCAAGTGATCTATAATTGAAGTACAAAATAGAATTATCAATACTTTACCATAGATTGAGTTTGTTTTATCAAAAAATTCCCATCCTATTTTATAATTAATCTAAATAGATTGACAATGAAACATTGTTTAAAGTGAAATAACATGGTAAAACAATTTGTAGTTCACTTAAAGGTGAAGATTTATCACGGCAAAAAGAAAGAAAATTGATTTAAATATACATTGTACAAGACTTATGGGATAAAGATAAGTACTTCCTGACATTATTCAGAAGCATATGTCAACAATTAGGTAGTCATTTAATAGCTGTAAAGTAAACAACTCACTAGAATGTCTAAAGTTACCTGTAAAACTATTAAACTGTTCATTAATTAAAATGGATAAATAAACTAATTATTAAGTAAAAGTTAAACATTCTACCTTCAAGTTATTGAGATCGTAAGATATGACGATTAGACTAACCGACTAAACACTGTAGTATATCTGATTTGATGTTAAGTTTACTAAAAACTACATACAGTTTACATTGGCCTTAATTTATTCAACTTTATGGAAACATTATTAAGTCCGAATTAACAAACATTACTAAACATTCAAAAAAAATTCTTATCAGAATGGGGATTTGTGGGAATTGTAGTAATTTCAATGATTGAATTCATGTGTTAATATAAGATAGACCAGTATGGAAAACCTGGAAGCACTGAGAGGCCGTTTCATCCAAGTATGAGATTCCTTAATAGTGCACATCCATAATCCCACACATGAAACTCAAACCCTAAACCTTCAGTTTCACAAGCGAACGCATAACCCCTAGACTACTTAGCCGGCATCTAAAGGTGTCAGTGTTTAACTTTAATTGATCCGTCATTTTGCGCAACACTTCATCTATTTTCTGAGGTGGATAACTATCTCCATCCAACGCATATTAAACTACACTGGTTACGATTTCTCACAAGAACTTTCAGAAATGATCTTGAAGCCAGTTACTAATGAGTACATGATTATTATCAGAATGGGGATTTTTAGAAATTGAGGTATGTTTAGAATTTCATGAGACCCATACCAAGATGAAACAGCTATCCAGTACTCCGAGATTTTCCATGGTAGTCTAGCTTAGATCAATTCATCAATTCAACTGTTAAATAATCATTGTTAATTAAAGTCTGTTACTCACTATAAAACAACTCTTTCTCTATATATCTATCTTCTATATATCTTTTTATTTATCATTTAGATGAATTAAATGAATCATCTACAATTCAATTTTATAATAAAGTTTCACAAACACGTAAACGTCGTAAAACCCGTACAACATTTTCTAATTGTCAATTAAATGAATTAGAAAATAATTTCAATCGTCAACGTTATTTAACACCAACTGATCGTGATCGAATTGCTAAACATTTAGGATTAACTAATACACAGGTAATTTCTTTTGTGTGAACTATATTGTATGAATATGATATTCACTATTTGATTAACATAGAAATATGGTATACAATTAGATGGTGGTTAGAGGTAGTCGATAGAAAACCTTGGACCCGGGTTTTGTGCTACTTGGCACTCGTCAGGAAGGTGTACCTGTAATCTTGAGGGAACTGGTGATCCCTGGCGGATTCGATCTCGTGCCACCCAGCTTCATAGTCAGAGACGTTATCACTGAGCTATCCGAGCCGCGACCGACCTCCTGTAGGACTGAGATGTATGGTATACAATTGCAACATTTGAAGCAACACATTCTATATTTCTATATCAGAAAGTATATATATATATATATATATATATATATATATATATATATATATTGTATGGTGATGATGTAAATACATTAAATCTACGAATCTTCTAAATTTCCGAATATCAACATTATTAGTGACATAAAGATATATATGTGGCGCCATTCGTTGTGCCAGTGTGACAAACTTAGTTATCTAAATAAGCTACTTAGTTAGTTAGTCGATTGGTTATTTAGTTATTTAGTTAGTTTATTATGATTACTTCAAACTAGTTACAAGAGTTAACCAAATTTTCTCATCGTATAAGTGTGTATATAAGTATAGTGCTGTAGAAAGGGAGGAGGTAGAAGGGAAGAATTCAGATAAAATAATAATAATAATAATAAAATATAAGATAGTACATGTAGATCAACATCAAAATGATAAGATTCACTGGTTTCCTCCAATTTATTCTTTCAAGTAAAATAATTGTAAACTAGTTTTTCATAAATCAATAAACCAATAAATCAATGAATATTGCAATGAAAACGGAAACTAAATGATCTATAATACTAATAACAGTGTTATAAGTAGTTGATTAAGTTACTTATTATTTATCAAATTTTTATAATTATATTGTTTCGAATGCCAACTTGGGTGATCGAATCCATATTATTATTATTATTATTGTCATAAAATATTATTGTTTCTGGTCATTATCACACAATGGTTATAACTATTACATACATCGTCTTGTAATTCATCACATAGATGATAATAATAATCATGACTAACTGAATGAAACAATATTAATAACAGTTATGATGAATGATATTCATTTGTAGGTTATTTTCAATGTTTATCACTAAGACATAATTTAGATTAAAGTAAAAGCAAGAGATGATCATAAATTTTCCATGAAAAATTAAAGAGAGAGGGAGGGAGAGAAAGAGACTGAAAGGAAACTGCCCATTATTATTTATTACTTAATTAAATAGACATCTACATATTCATATCCTTTGATGGTTATATATGGATCGTTGTTAGTTTTATGAATTAATGATCAAAATATTAAAGGATTAACTAGACAGTCAGTGTTTACATGATTGTATGTATGTACGTACGTATGTATGTAGTATGTATGGATGTAAGGAAAGAATGAGATCAATTTGATTCAATATAAATAAGTAGTGTTGTATCCTAGTGAAGATTAAATTACGAATAACTTCTGAGACCTAATAATGAACTAATATGACATATATATATATATTCTCGTTGTATAACTATTCAGTAACTAGACTATATATATCTATATTCCACTTATTATAAGCTTCATTTTGCCATATAGACTATTATAATACGAATTATTGTTCTTAAGTTGTGCCAAGTTTATTAATTACAGTCTCCCACGTTCACAGACACTTACTGGCTAGAACTCGTACAAATGTTATTTCCTATTCTATGATGTGATATGGTCTGTTTGGCTGGTATACAAACTAGGTATGCTTGAAATAAATGATTTGTATGGTGGAAGCTGGTGTGGACTCAACTGGCAGGGCTAGGAGGGTAAAGGATCAATAAGGACGCTAGGCTGCTCATACCGGTCGAACGTCATTGATTTACCACAGTATTAAGATTGAATAAGTTGTATTTCGATTGACGAATAAATCACATGATGATAGGTGGCCTTAAAAGCACAACAAGTAGTGTCATATTAGTTGTGAGATTATGTAAGTGTACAAATCTTATTGAAGCACAAATTAACTAAATTTGACAATATGAAACACTAAACTTAAACTTATTGGTCTACAACTGTCATGTTTTGTCCTTGTTGATGATCTGAATGGTGAGACTATAATTTGTGGATGAACCAATCACATTTAGAATAATAGGTCTCTGATTGTAACGCGAAGTTCATTCACCCATTTGGTCAAATAGCTTCTTGGTATTTTAGCTGATGACAGTTCATGATGAAAAACGGTAAATCTAATTCCTAACCCTAACCATCAACTGTGAATCATAATCCTTATTCTTAAAACTGTTTTATAACCGTCATTTAGTCTTAGTAAGTAGGTAGACACTCTCAAAGTCACTTTGGCGTCGCTTAAAGGTCGTCCATAAATTATAGTCTCACCAAAAACTGCTTAATCCTTCTCTAATATTTTAACAATTATCCAGTTAATATTAATTAGTCATATCATTATAGTAAACACAAGCTCAATAAATAATATTGTTAGCATAGTCTTTTATCCAAAAATATATTATCATCAGAAACAAATGAATTCCAATTGTCTAATAAGATCACAGGATAAACAGACATCATCCCTCATTGAGAAACATTTGATTGCGACTGGTCATAAGGTTGACATCAAGTCAACATTTGTAGTGTTATACAAAAGCCTTCAAGGACGTATACTAAGGTTTATTGAAGTCTTGACCATACGGAAATTGAAACCCCCTTTATGTGTTCAAAACAATTTTTCCTTACACTTTACCTACCCCAGTAATACTGATTTATTATCCAAAGTGGTAATCACATTGTTTTTGTGTACCTTATTTTTTTCCCAACAGTTAAGATCATGAATCAATTGAAGCTAGACAACTATGGAAATCTGGAAGCACTGGACGGCCGTTTCGTCCTAATGTGGGACTCCTCATGTTCTTCCAGTGCTTTCAGATTTTCCATAGTGATCTAGCTTCAACTAACTCATGATCTCAACTATTGAAATCACTATAAGTAATATGATGCGTTAATTGTCAACTAACCAATTAAATTCATCATACATAATATAATTTACTATTATAAGACTATTATGTTTTAAAATACAATCCAATCAGATAATATATTCGTTCTAATAGATGATGAGTTGGTTATGATAAATAAAAGACTAAAAAGATAAGTTATTAATCTCAAATCATTTAGACAAATATCTTGGGTAAATGAATAATTTACAGATTTTATAGTGAACCGACGAAGGTTTAACATATCTCCTTGTAAACCTGGAAGCACTGGATGGCCGTTTCGTCCTAGTATGGGACTCCTCAGCAGTGCGCATCAACGATCCCGCACCACGCGGGAAGGAAGATTTAAATGTGCTTTACATCATAGTATGTTAGAATAATGAAACGGCCGTCCGGTGCTTCCAGGTTTTCAATGGTGGTCTAGCTTCAACTGACTCATGATTTCAATCTGTGAAAATTTCTAAAAATCTCCACAAACCCCTTCTGATATCTCCTTGTATTAACAGGTAATCTGTTTAACTTTTCCTAATATTATTAAAAACTATGAAATCCCAATTACTATATTGTTTATTATTATTATTATTCTCTATTTCAAATAGGTTATTACATGGTTTCAAAATCGTCGAGCTAAATTAAAAAGAGAAGCTGAAGAACTTGAACGTGATGTAATGGCATTAAAAAAACAAAAACAACAAAAATTTACTTGTCTTTCATTATCTGATCATAATCATAATGAAATAGAAATCAATAATGAAGATGAACAAGGAGATAACCACGACAACGACGATGATGATGATGATGATGATCAAGAAGAACAAGAAGAACAAGAACAAAAAGAAAAAGAAGAGAATTCACATAAAATTCAATATTTAACACAATCTCCTTCAATATCTTCATTGAAACATTTTACATCACCAATATTGAATACACATGAAACATTGAATATGAATTTGTTTATTAATCCATTCAATGAATTCACTAATGAATCATTCATAAGTGATAAACTATTAAATGAGAAATGTTTAAAAGGAAATAAGGATTTAAGTGAACAACAATTTCATTTATTAAATCATCATATAAACAATTACTGTAATAATCCTAATAATAATAATAATAATAATAATAATAATAGTAATAATAATAGGAAGAACAGTATTGATGGACTAAATAAGGGTAGATCTTTTAAGAAATGTCAGAAAATTTGGTGCCCTGCCTTAGAATTAGAACAAGAGATTAGTTAAATAAACCTTCTTTTTTCTTTTTTTCTTTTCTTTTAACTCCATTTTTTTATATTAAGTTCTTTTTTTGTTGTTGCTGTGGAAACATTGATTATTCAACGAATTTAGATAAGCAACAATTATTTGTAAAAAATGTGAACAAACTCAAATATAATTCATGAAATCATAATACAACAATTTGTTTATAAACTTGTATGCATTTTTCTACTGATCATTAAATGAATTGATTTAAGTGCAATGGTGGATATGATAAACAGTCACAATGATCGAACATACGGGACTCGAAACCAGGACCTTGGGTCTCTAGATCATTGAGTTGGTATCCAATAATATAAATTGTCTAACTTCTGTTGATCCGTGAGTGATTGTGCAATCATTCATCGATTATCTGGGGTAAATACTTGTCTCTACCCGATACAGATTGAACTCTACTGGTTATACAGAATCAACATATTTTCAATGACAATCATTGTGTTAGACTGTTAACATGAATTATTGATTAATAAATGAATAGTTTATAGTGTATATTGAAGAGAATGCTGGTCATGAAATAAAAACAACTAGAGAGTTATTGACAAAATAACAGACTATGACCTTATTTTTTTATCCTTAATTTTTGATGGAGTTTTGTTCTCTGAGCTGGATGGTTTGGTCGTGGAGCTTTCATCATTCTTCTGAACAACATCATCAGCACAAACTTCAGATAGAAGTGAAGTGTTCGAGTTTCCCCATATGCGTTTCACAGCTTGTTCTGTACACCTCGACGTTGATTGGCTCTTATTGACCTTAAATTTGTCATTGTTTACTTCTCAAAACAAGCTGTGAAACGCATATGGAGAAATTCGAACACTTCACTTCTATCTGAATTTTGTGATGATGATGTCGTTCAGAACAAACAATGAAAGCTCCACGACCACACCATCCAGCTCAAAGAACAAAAACTCCATAAAAATCATTCACCTGAGCTACAAATCTTCTCTGTCCTTGATTTTCAGATTTCTCATAACGAAGTTTGAAATTGTTGAGTTAATTTATTTTTAGTATCTAGGATAAATACTTATGACAGGCTTGAAAATAAAACGAAATATTTATATAGGATGTTTAATGAACATTTCAGAATATTGTAGTTTACATGTAGATGAGAAACCATTGGAAACTAGGAGGCATTGAACAACCATTTTGTCTTAGTATGAGATTAATCAGAGTGAAACTATACTATACCGACGACTTTAAACAATTTTAAGAATGACTTTAGTATTAACCCATCAAAAACAGTCTGGATCCGGCTTTAATATAAGAGCTCTAAAATATAGAAAAATGATAAAATTACAGAGGATTAAGAGTTTTAACACTGTTATTGGACTTATTAATGCTAAATAACGATAACTTAAGCATTAGTCCAAAACTCTGTAACCTAACATCTTTTAAAACTTCTAATCCTACAAATCCTCAACCCTGGACTCTTGAATTAAATTTTCTTAATTCAAACTCCTAAACCTGATAGTTTTAAATACTTACTTTAACTCTGGTACTTCTAACTTTAACACTCCAAAACCCTAACTTCTAAACTTGGTTTTCCTAATAATAACACTTAACGTTAACGTTTTGAACCTTAACAGTTCGTCCTACGAGAAAATCGTCATCCAATCCTTTCACAGTGTGAAATATGATAAAAATGATGAGTTTCAGCAACAAGCTATCTGCAACAGAGTTAGAGATTCACGCATCGGAGAGCTTAATTTTCATTAGTCGTTCAATGCTGTCAGCATAGAGTAGCTTTCCCTTAACGAGAAATGAGTATACTAGTTACATGCTAGATCAAATATCTCTTCAGTCTTTCCTGATTTTTAATGTGTAGATACACGAAGTTCCTAATGTAAATTTAAAAGAAATGGGATATTTATCCAATTAATCTGGAATTCCAATCATTCAACAAATAAAATTGTTTCACAATGAAATATTCAAAGCTTAATAATTCGTTAACTTGCTCCGGTAACTAGAATCGTATAATAAAATTTGATAGTTTCTTTCAGCTTATAGACATCATTTAACCTTGAAAAACAAATACAAGTAAGCATTGAATTTGTCAGTTTTCTTTTATCAGAATGGGAATTTTTGAAGATTGCGGTAAGTTCAATAGTTGAGTTCATGAGTCAATCTAAACTAGACCAATAATGAAAAGGTGGTAGCACTTGATTGACATTTCGTCCTAGTATGGAACCCCTCAGTAGTGCATATTCACGATCGCATACACGGAAATCGAGGAGTCCCATGCTAGTGAGACGAAACAGTCGTTTAGCGCTTCTAGGTTTGATGATGATGATGATGATGACAGCTGTGAGTTATCATTAGTGGCTGAGAAAAGTCCAGAAGATATTAATCTTAATATGAAAGAACCTTGGATCATAACTACTTACCAATTACCTACAATCATCAGAAGTCAAATTAAACTTTTCTAACTGATTAATATTGATTATTGATAATGATTTCATGGATGAGTGATTCAATGAAGATTGACACAAATTAATCTTTTCACTCTCTTCAAATTTGTAAATATGAATCAATTTTATTGTCCTCCTCAGTGGAGAGATATATTATCCGTTTCTGATTTATATGAAAGTCTATGTCCCTCTATACTGTAATTCATTCTCCTCTTTCTAAATTTGACTATTCAAAAAGACGATCTTACAAGAAAAATTTATTAGTAAAGACCGGAGAAAAATGATTTCAGAATATACTTTCCATTTAATTTCAGGATCTTTTTTGTCAGTGTTCTATTGAAATTCTAAAAAGGTTTCATGATCGAAGGGCTCAGTAGTATCAGCGTCGAGATACAGTTCATCAATAGGATGTTATGATCATTGTATCATATTATGAATACACTGAATTCGCTATTATTGTGAATAGCTGATTTTCAAATTAATGGATTGGATCTAATAAGTAACTTCAGGTGAGTGTTTTTTTGTATAAGTTTCCAACTAGGACAAAACTACTCCTCAATCCAAGCTAGTTTTCAATAAGCTGATACAATACAAATGTATTAAGATGGTAATTGGTAAACAAGTTAATCAAACTAATGATGTCAGCCAGTAACAACGTAGAACTTTGTACGTGCGTACATCAGTTCGAGTTGCCATACCACATTAGCACAGAGATGCAGTTGTCGACTCAAATTCCGTGGTGGTAGATGTAGTAAGAGTATAAGCAGTAATCGGGAACATTAGGGCCTGAAGATGTTGTTTAAAGAGTATAATCCAGTGAAATACATTTGAAAAGAGAAAAAAAGAGACATGAAGAATTCAGAAGATTAGAATTTGGGAGAACACAAAGAGTGTATGCACCTGCGCCATTGCAAACGATTTTGAGCCATATCATTCAAGGTCTCTAACCATCGGTTGCTATCGTCTCGCGGATCCCAACCAGGTAGTCTACACCTACCAACATGACTCAGTTCGCTTATAAATGACTTCATGGATTTGTTTCATGTTTCGGTTTGGACGCCGGGGCAGCCGGTAGTTGGGCATACGTAACACGTGTCCCAGCCATCTCAACTGATGAGGTTTCACTACTTCATCAATTGATTTGCCATCCTTACCTAGTACCCGTTTCCTAACAACTGAGTTACTTACTCGATGGTCCCAGGATATACGAGCACTGTTTCGAAAACAACTATGATCAAATACTAGTAACCTACGAATATCCTCTACTCTTACCGGCCATGTTTCACTGCCATAAAGTAGGACAGAACGAACTGCTATGCAGTAAACACGTCCTTTGGTTGGTATACGGATATCTCGCCTACGCCATAAATGACGCAAGTTGGCAAAAGCTAGTCGAGTCTTCTGTATCCGTGCTGAGACTTCGTCACACACCAAACCACAAGGGCTGATGATACTTCCAAGATGAGTGAAGCGGTCGACACGCTCAACTACTTCACTCCCTATCATTAGTTTGGGTGTCGATGGAACCCAATCCTGAAGCAACATTTTGCATTTCGAGGGGGAGAATCGCATCCCGAACTTGCTTGCATTGCAAACTAATGATGAGATATTTACAATCAACTAATAGGATTCTTAAAAAAATAAACGATTAACTATCACTCCTACTTATGTAAATACATAAATTATATACAATTACTTTCAATTATTCACTTTATATAGATCTCTCTATCTTGTATTCTTAAAATTATCTTTTGATTAACTACAATGATAATTAACTAGAATTTATATTGACAAGATATAATTTTAAGTAATTTCCACCATATAAATATTCACTAACATTGTTTCTTCTTATATCTCTGTCGTTGTCATATGCACACACACACACACACAATCGAACTCTCTATATATAAACATTGAGAATAAACGCTTGGAAAGAAAAACAACACAAAATAACTCTTACTGATTATAATCTATCACTATAAATACTACTGTTATCACAATATCAGTATACGATATATTATACTTATCAATAATTACTTTTCGAAATTATCCCTTAAATACAACCACATAGAGAGAATGAGTGAAATAGAGAGAGGGCGGGTGAGATTAGGTTTTGTCTTTAAAATGAAAAGAATTAACTTTTCAATACCTTTCTTTCTGTTTAGTTAACAAATTAGTGTTAAATAGTTTGTATTTTCTGACTGTATTTCAGTTTCTTCTTTTAAATATACAGATATATATATATATATATATATATATATATATATATATATATATATATATATATATATATATATATATATATATATATATATGTGCAATATAGCTATCATACATCCTATATTACTAAGAAAAATCACATACCGGTCACTATGAAGAGACGATGATAATCTTGTAATTACTATGTCAGCAGTTTTAATTTTTTTTTCACTAAAATTTGTTGGAACAGCTGAGAAATTATCTTGAACAACATGTATTACAATTGGATGAGATATTGATTATAATGATAATGAAGTTGTAGACAGTATTATTGTTCAATGTAGTTGACTTATTTTTCTGCTTCCCCTTCCCCCTCCTCCTCCTCCTTCTCTCTATCTCTATATATATATCACCTAATATCTTTCAATATAACTAACCAGACAAAATAAAGAAAACATAACTAATTATTTCGAAAATTACTGTCTACCCATTTACATACATGTAAACTGTTTAATACTTTCCTCATAGGAATTAATTGTAATAAA